ATCATTAATAAGCCTCCCTGAACACAGCAGCTTTAACTCCTGCTCTGCTCCTTATTTTGGTTATGGAACCGAAACGCACAGAATTGCGCAACACCTTGTAGAAACAATAATCACTGAGATGATTTTTGTTGTCGGGTCATTAATTTGAGCAGGTTTTGTTGATATTTATATTTGTTGTTGTTCTGTAATAAAGTTACGAACGTTTTAAGCCAGTCAGAGGAGGACCTGCTGGTCTCAGCCTCCTGGCTGCGTTCAGTTTGTCCCCTGATGCCGAGATCGACTCAAAACCTTCCGCTATCGACGTGTTGCAGCTCTGCTGTAGCAAAGCACGAAGAGTTCAGAAACAATATGAAATGGGAAAAAAAGCTATTTATTAACCGATTAAGTCGTGTTTTAGATTGTTCCTGAAAAACGAATCAGTCACGGCTGGTTAGTGGGTGAACTCACGGCTGCACAGTGAACCGGTTGATTTTTTTACAGCAGACAGCCGCTCCGTCTCTGCACCCCCGCTAAATCTTTTGGGGTACGCAGTACCCTGCCGTACCCCCTCACTTTCACCCTGGTAACAAGAGACAATGATCGCCGATCACCGATCACACACTTTTTCACGGAAATCGGCCGATTATGATCGGTGGCCGATCGATCGGCACACCTCTACTACAAATAGAAAATACCAAACATCACCAGAGAAGAGTAAATGTTTTCTGCTGACCTGAATATCTTCTCACCCATCTGAGTCCCTGAGCAATCCTGGACTGGAGGAGAATCCAGATCGGACGTTAAAACCCAAATCTGGGAGGAGAGTCAATGTTGATGTTGATATTTATGTTACTTGACACTGAATTAAAACATCTCTATTCCTTCGGTGCATTTTTAACCATTATTTTACCAGGAAGACCCTGGAGATGAAATGTATTTTAATGGTAACCTGGCTAAGAGTGACACCAGTGTCCATTAATCAAACTGATTTAATTAGTTTCCAATGTTTTTCTGATTCCAGATGTTCCTCCAGGATCAGATGACCTCTGACCTTCAGTCTCACCATGACGACCAGCTGACAGGTTCCAACTCTCCTAATATCAGATTATAACTGCTGATTATTTTAGTTCAGGTTTTCTATCTTTCTTTATGCTTCACCTCAAGGTCATCTCAATAAAAAATGTCTTGAATATTTTTTTCTCACAAACTGTAATCTTTATGAAGAAAATTAAATATTAACATTAAACAGATTAAATGTTTTACTCGGACAATAACTGCAGAAGAAGAAAACATCAATGTGTTAAATGTCATTTTTTAATTAATTTTGCTTTGTTTTTAACCAATGGATGTTTTCATGACTGTAATGAGAAAAATAAAAATTATTCTCATTTCAGATTTCCAGCTTTGTGTTTGTGTTCTTTGGCATTTTTTCTTGAATAAACTCGTCATTAATTTTTCCCTTCAATATTTTCCTCTGCAGATTTTACACTTCATTGTTAGCCTGAGCATTCATGGCTGCTGTAGCAAAGAACAAGGAGAGGGTGTGAGCAGCACATACTTGAGAGTGATTGGCAGTGCTAAGTCAACAATTCACAGCCAGTGAACTAAGGAGAGGTTCTGGACCGGCCCAATTGGTGTCCAGAGCCTGAAATTGATTTAAAAAAAAAAATCCTCACAGGAAGTTGATGCTCCATGTTGCCCAGCAGAAAATCACCCCAAAGCATGATGCTTCCCCCTCCATGCTTCATGGCTGGGATGGTTCTGCTGGAATTGGATTCATCCTTCTTCTTCCAAACATGTTGAGTGAAGTTTCTACTAAAAAGTTTTGTTTCAGTCTAATGTGACTGTAGGTTCTTAAATAATGAAGCCATAAGCTGGACGCTCTCCGTCCTTCCCCTTCGGTCCACTTGATGACGAAAACGACAAAAACCAGACGGGGTCCTCTTGATAAAAGTTAACGATTTACTTCAAAAATAAAAACGGTACAAATGTTACTTTTCCATAAAAATAATAGAGTAAACAAAAAGTCTTAAGAGAGAGAGAGAGATCAAAAAACTGTGTGGCTCCACTGCCTGGCCACACCCTCAAGTCCTTAACTGCAATTACATATGCAAATTTACAAGAAGACCCTAGTATAGTCCAATATAACAAATTACTATGAAATAGAGATATAACTAGTGATCATTTTTATCCAAATAAACAAATTACCATAAGAAATATAAACATAATTTATCCTAAAGGTCTGAATGAACTAAAATTGAATTTAGGCTTCTACAGTGACCTTTTGACCCCCTGCTGCACCTCCTCTGAATCCTCCAGATGGTCACTGAAACATTTGACTGACCTGGCAGAGAGAGCGGCGACCAGAGCCGAGGAGAGTACTGGGATTTCCTGGGTAGAGCTCCAAGAGGAGGGTCTTGCTGCGGAACCAGCCGAGGTTCAGAGATGGTAGGCGGACGGCGTTGGAGGACGGACAGGAAAGAGCTTCAGCTCACCGGGAGTCAGTGCGAGGGAGGCAGCCAACGAGGAGTTCCAGGTGGGTTGTTTTACTACGGGGAGTGTGAGTGGGAGCTCGGGCATCGAAGGGTAAAGTCCAACGGCGTCTCAAGGAGAGGAATACTCAGAGAACAGCCAGGAGCTTCAAGTGGTTGGAACCACGATGTCACAAGGAAGTATCGTTACTGGCTAAACAATCTGGCAACGAGGTGTTGGCTGACTTCACTCTTAAGCTCCTCACAGATGAGACAACAGGTGTGTAGAACTCCAGCGTCGCCGGTCACGCCCACCAGAGATCGACCACTAGTTTGACACCCCTGCTCTAGATCTATGTCTGACGTTTATTGAGTTTGTCCTTACCGGTGTTGTGTTTACCTTTCAGGTACGCTGTCCCTTTGGATTCCACCTAGATGAGGTTCCTTCCCTCTGGTTCTGGCGATCCAACGAAACCCCTTAGCAGTTGTGCCCCACTCGTCCTACGGTGCGTCCGACTGGTTCCTGCTCCCGAGAGTCTTCCTCTGGCTTGGTTTCCCTGGTGTGGCTTCCATCCCTGTCTGAAAGAGCTGTATACTACACTGACTTTGCTGGACATCATTAAAACCTATAAGAGTTGCCGAGTTTTCCTTATGGTCTTTTCTGCATGTGGATCAGACAAATCCCTACAACCATGACAGAAATAAGTGAACATTATAGTTTTTGTTATAGTTTTAAATATACAATAATCTGTTAGACATTAAAAGAAGAATTTTAGGCCATAGAAAAAACTAAATCCTCATCAGAAATGTTTTATCTTTCTGTTAAGGACACTCTATGTGAGAGATCAGTACTCTGAAAAATAAGTAACATTGCAATATTCTTCCTGCTAAATCAAAGTAGTCTGGACCGACCCAATTCCTCAGCAAAAACATGGATCTGTGATCCATGTTTTGTCTGAGTGACCAAAATCTGAATGAAGTTCAGCAGTTAGCTTAGCCTCAGTTAGCTACAATTAGAGTTCAGTTAGGCTTCAATTTTCCTCCAGTTAACCTCAGTTAGCCTCCAGTTAGTCTAAGCTGGCATCAGTTAGCCTCTGTTAGCCTTAGTTAGCCTCCAGTTAGTCTCAGTTAGCCTTCAATTAGCATCAGTTAGCCTCCGATTAGCCTCAGTTAGCCTCAGTTAGCCTCCAGTTAGCCTTAGTTAGCCTCCAGTTAGTCTCAGTTAGCATCAGTTAGCCTCCGATTAGCATCAGTTAGCCTCAAATTAGCCTCAGTTAGCCTCCAATTAGCCTCAGTTAGCCTCAGTTAGCCTCCAGTTAGCCTCTGATTAGCCTCCAGTTAGCCTCCAATTAGCCTCAGTTAGCCTCAGTTAGCCTCCAATTAGCCTCAGTTAGCCTCAGTTAGCCTCCAGTTAGCCTCTGATTAGCCTCCAGTTAGCCTCAGTTAGCCTCCGATTAGCCTCAGTTAGCTTCCGATTAGTAGGGTTGCCACCTTTCAGAAATCAAAATAAGGGACGCCCACGACGGTGCGTTGTCCTAGTCTCATGTGGTGGGACGTCCGCTGCAGTGATACACATTATTTTATGGCGGTATCTTTTGTCTTTAAAAATGATCCAGAGAGCAATCATTCATGAATAGTTTGCTAGAGTTCCCCAGAACTGTACTCCAGTCAGAGTAGCATACCTTAAACACGTTTAATTGAGCAGGTGTAAAGAGTATTTGGTAAACTACTCAAGCACTGAGTAACTGATCATAACACCTGATTTAATATTCAAAATGTGTCCTCAGGCAGCCAAAAGTATAAAAGTTATGCGAACATTCTGGTATTTTAGTCAGTGTTTTTGAAACAACAACAAAAAAAAAACAACAGAGCAATATTTCATCATTTGATATAATAAGTGAGCCAAAGAGCCACTTGTGTCCCCAGAGATCCAGGCTGCAGATCCCTGACAGATGGAAAGTCTGATCCTATACAGCAGCTAAAAGTGCAGTTCTATAATATTAAATTCATTGTTAAAGTAAAATTGTAAAAGTTAAAAAAATCCACCACTGAGTATCAACATAAGACATTTATTTAGTATAATTTCTTCTGTATCCCGTTGGCCCCCATCTAGATCCGCCCCTGGGCTGCAGGTCTGGTGCATTAATGACCACTGAACACTGAATTCATAAAATATACCAACATTTCAAAATAAAGCATACAGAAAGCCCTAACAAACCTTTTAAATAGGAAATATTGATGTGTTTACTATTAATTTAATGTATGATTTGTTCTTTAAATGACCATTAGTATTATTTTGGCTGATATTATTAATAAGCAAATAATCAAATCAATATAGCCGACTAAAAGCATAATAAAAAACTTCATAATAAAATGTTCTGCACCATATCAGCCTCAGGAGATGATTGAGGAACAAGAGACTCTGATTTCTGGTTCTTTAGGTTCTGACGGGTCTGCAGTTCCTCTCCTGATCCGTTCTGTCTGGTATCACACTGGGCACTAGGTAACCGTGACAACAGCGTCGGTCCGTAGCGTTCTGGGGTCCTTTAGCTCCCGCCACCAGTGTTTTATTTTGGTCATTATTGTTACACTCAGTGTTGATATGTGTGTGATAGGCGAGTCTATCAGACATTTATAGAACAAATCGCGTCCCGTATCGGTTCAATACGGGACGATTCCGTATTTTAAGGGACGGGTGGCGACCCTACCTGAAAGGTCAGCAGGTCATGAGAGAGGGATGACCTGCAGCAAAGGTCATCAAGTCAGAACTCAAACCTGTGACGGCCATGTTGAGGACAGAGGCCTCCATGTTTGAGTCACCTCTGTGTTACCTCAACATCCACAACTTGTTCTCTGAAGGGGAACGTTTTGATGATTTTCTTAGTAAATTTTAGAATTAAAAAAAAAATTATTTAGATAGACTGTCTCCAAAGGCTTTTTATGCTTCGATGGCTTTTATTGTACAGTCCAAGGACAGGAAACAAGGAAGAGAGAGAAAAGACGACCTGCAGCAAAAGGCCTGATAATCAAACCCAGAGCAGCGACTGAGCAGTGGCAGAATGTGTGGTCATGTGTGAATGTCATAGGAAAAATCAGAGAAATGCTGGTTGGTTTCTGCTTAAAAGCAAATAAACAATCATCCAAATCTAATAATGATGAAACTTTATGAAGCAGCAGGACGAAGCTGCATCTGCAGGTTTTCAGATTCAAATAAACTGAGCAGAGTTTTGGTGTTTGTCCTCTGATCAGCTGCAGCTCTGCAGCCTCTGGACGTTCAGACTCTGATTCCCTCTCTGCTGCTCAGGTCACTGCAGGCCGGTTAGCTTTTCATCACTTTATGAACCAGAAAGATGTCCTCTAGGGAATAAAATAAAATGTTTACAGGCTTAAATGATCTAAAGAAACTTCACAACCCCCCTTTACAAACTTTTTATTAGTGACTGAACTCAGAGAAAAACAGATGATTGTCTGTTTCTGTGAAATATGTCATGAAATGAGACGTGAATAAAACAACAGGTTTCAGGCCGAGTACAGAGAGGTGGAGCAGAGCGGAGCCGCTAGAGGAGGAACAACAGAAAAGAAAATGTCCGACAATCAGTTCATCAGCTCAGCTCATCTTTCTAACACAGCTGTTGGCAGTTGATGACATTTTAATTTGAAAACATATTTTATTCATCATAGTTTATGGTGGAAGTTTGATCTTCTGTCAGACAAACAGCATCTAAATCAACAT